TGTGCTGGTCAGCCTCTTCAGACTGAGTACCTCAGTGTTCTGTGACTGTGCTAGTTGCTTCCCTCTGTCCAACCTCAGCTGTCACCCAGCTCCCCGTCGCACTAGAACCGTCCCTAGTAGGAACACAGTAGTGATTGCTTCATCTAGTAAAGTAAGGACTGCTGCTAAGATTTCCAAGGAAATGCCCATTTAGTGTATAATTCATAGAAATAGGGATGGCGAGATGTATCTGTGTGTGACCTGTGCTTGTCACCAAACCTGAGTTCAGTCCCCAGGGTTCAGAGTGGAATGAGAGAGAATCGACTTCCTCAAGTTGTTCCCAACCTGCACACACATGAGTAGTACACACATACACACAAACACACAAACATGCATACACAAACACACATACATACACATGTACAAACATACACACATATACACACAAACACATACACACATACACACAAACACACACACACAGACACACAGAGTAACATGTAGATACATAGAGTAGATAATAATGCTAAAGACTTAGCTCCAAAAATTTTAATTGTATGACCTTTGGCAAACTGCTTATTCCTCAGAACCTCCATTCCCTTATCTGTAGGAAAAAGATAATATGTGCTGGGCACGTCGAGATTACTGTGAGGGACGAAGAGATAATGAGTGCCTGGCACAGAACATTTATTTAATAATGGCAGCTATCAACGGGAACTTTGGTATCATCGGTGAATGAGGATTTCTGTTCTCACACCTTTTGGGGTTTAGGGAGAGTTTACCTTCACAATTCATCTGCCTCTAAGAGTGCTCCTTGACCAGCCGTGTACCTGAAGCCTGGTAGTTCAGGCCAGGGTACTGTTAAAACAGGAGGGAGCATGTGTGGCTCACTGCAAGAAATCTTGTCATTACTGAGTCTCTAGAACCACCACTACCAACAACAAGAAAATTTGAAAAAAATAACATTTATCCAGGTTGATCCAATTAACCCTATCATAACAATTTTCCAAGCTAGGCTCCCAAAAGTCTTAGATAAATGCTTACTGCTCACTTTTTTGAGATAGACTCTTATTGTGTAGCTAGATCACCCTTAAACTCAAGATTCTTTTGCCTTAACCTCTGGAGGGCTGAGATTGCTGTCAGCTGCTACTGTGTCTGGTTTAGAGAAATGCTTTCTGGTTGGGGGGACTGGCGATTGAAGCTAGGGCCCACTGTACACTAGGCAAATGCTCTACCACTGAGACAGCCCTGGCGTTTCCTTTCCTTTACCTGAGTCAATTGTCAACAATCGTAGGAGTGACAGTTCCATACTAGGTGCCAGGATGCACTGAGGACTCAGAGATGTGTAGGACAAATTTGTTCTCTCCCCTCCTCCCCTGCTGTCTGGCCTTCACTTTGTAGCTGCGCCTCAAACTCTCAATGATCCTACCTCAGCTTCCCAAGTACTGGGAACACAGGCTAAGCCATTACATGAAATCTGTCTCCCTCCCTCCCTCCTGTCCTTCTTCCAACTGACTCCAGAGTCTGGGAACACACTAAGCATATGGTTTACAGCCAAGCTGCACCTCTAAGTCAAAACTGTTGCTCAAGGAAACAACAACTGTGTCAAAATTCTTAAGAATTATCAATACCTCTAAGAATTATCTTCACTACTCCATCTTCCCCCACATCCCCCAAAAGGCCTCTTACAACTGGTTGTTGCTGACGCTCTCTCTCCTTTCCTGCCTCCCACTGTTCCCTTATCTTGACCCCAGCTGCTGCCAACCAAACCACATTGTTAATTGTCAGTGGTCCCTGTTTGATACACATGGATCTTAGCATCCTGATCCAGCCATAGATAACTTTAGAGCATGAGTTCATTGGTCCAGCTTACATTCCCATAATAATTGTCATCTTTACTTCTAACCACCTATGATGGCTGTGGATAAAATGTTATGAGCTTATATGAAACATATTTTAACTTATCCCTTTAAACCAGCAGGGCATGAAACACATAGATCCAGGGCAAATGCTACTTTCCCATACAGAATCTGATTCATTTGAATTAGTTGTTTCATTTCTATAAAAGACTTATTTTATGTGGATGACTGCATGATTAATATATGTCCACTACATGCATGCCTGGTACCCTGGGATGCCAGAAGAGGATGTTGAATCTCTTAGAACTGGGGTCAGAGGTGGTTATGAGATGCCCATTGAGGTGCCCAAGGTGGGAAAAGACTTGAGTCCTCTGCAAGGATAGTATGTACTTTTATTTTTTAAAGCTTTTTTAGGTTTATTTATTTTTATGTGTATAAGCTTTGCCTACATTCATTATGGGGGGGAGGGGTCAGATATCCTGGAACTAGAGTTATAGACAGTTGTAAGCCACCAGTGGGTGCTGGGAACCGAACCAGGGTCCTCTGGAAAAAGAACAAGTGCTCTTAACCACTGAGCCATCTCCCCAGCCCTTCCTGTGTCTTTTCAAATGACTTTAATTACCTTTATTCTACAGTGTTAATAAAGAGCACCAGATCACCGGACTCTACATAGAATGGAAAGTTTGCATTTGGTCTTGTCATCACCCACTTAGAACCCCTCAGAAGAGGGCAGGGCACCGTCTCTTCACTTTGTCATCTTCATGGTCATGTAGGAAGGAAAGTAGAAAAGATTTTCTCCACGTCATCCTTACAAAGAAAGTTCTTTCTCAGCTCATCTGAAGTGAATGTAACATGATTCTAACACTCTGCAAAAATATCCTGATTTCCCTAAAACCACCCAGTGTATCCTGCCAGATTTGTCATTCTTGCTGTGATGTCACCACGAGGAGCTCTTTCTCTCTCTTGCTGGTGTTGCCCATGAGGCTGTGGACAGATCAGTAGTGACATTTACCCTGGAACTGTACTTATTATGTCTGAACATTCTCATTTCTTCATAGACTTATAATGAATACTTTAAAAAAAAACCCAAATCCTTAGTATATAGGAGAATATATCTATCCATGAAAACCCACATGGATTGGGGGATGGGTGAGCAAAGCAGAGTCTGGAAGAAAAGGTTTGAGTGTGTGTGAGAGTGTGTGTGTGAGAGTGTGTGTGTGAGAGTGTGTGTGTGAGTGTGTGTGTATGTGAGAGTGTGTGCATATATGAGTATGTGTGAGAGTGTGTATGTGTGTATGTGTATATGAATATGTATGTGTGTATGTGTGAGTGTATGTATGTGAGTGTGTGTATGAATATGTGTATATGTGTGTATATATGTATGTGTGTGTGTTTGTGGGTGTGTATATGTGCACATCTGTGTATGAATCAGATACTTCCCCAAGGTGGGGTAGGGGATGCTAATTCTATCAGTCAAATTGATGAAAGACATAACAGACTCTGGTCTATCTATAGATATTAAACTGGCATGTGTTCTACAGGTTGCATTGAATTTAAAAATATATAATAAGACCAGATAATATGAGCTTCAGATCGTGACTACTGTTTTGTGGATCTGTTCCCTCACAACATTGGTTTTTTTTTTTTTTTTTGGTTTTTTGGTTTTTTGGGGTTTTTTTTGGTTTTTTGGTTTTTTGGTTTTTCAAGACAGGGTTTCTCTGTGTAGCCCTGGCTGTCCTGGAACTCACTCAGTAGACCAGGCTGACCTCGAACGCAGTAATCTGCCAGCCTCTGCCTCTCAAGTGCTGGGATTAAAGGCATGCGCCACCACTGCCCGGCACATTGTTTCTTTATAACTGTAAATATTTGGTGTAATTAGATAACATTCCGTTTTGAAAAGGGATTGGAAAGAACATGGTCACTGAAGTTGGGGTGGAAAGGTGAAGAGGATTATCTGAATGCTGTACTGATTTTATTTGACTTCAACGATGTTCTCCAGTGTCACTCTTGCTTTGGTGCCAAATGTCCCTGAGCTGTTCACAGAACACTGTCCCATTGACAGAAACTAGTTTATGGGCAGCAAGAAACAGTACACCTTCACCAAGGAACTCCAAAGAGAGAGAGCACAGAGACTCATCTGAGGCTGAGAGTCTCGTGGTGCTTTCCCTGGGAAGAAGCCCTCTGCCAAAGAGAGCAGACCAAAGCCCCCTTTTTGAGAGAAGGCAGTGATGAGCCACGGCCCAGCATCCACCTGCAGGACTTCCTTACAAAGACAAGAGTAGTATGTAGGCAAGAGAGTTGTCTCTGGAAGCCGGAGCCCTGCACAAGTGCTCTTGGGAAGGGAGACATACTGGCTCTCTCTGGATCACCCAGCTCCTCTCCTGAAGAGCTTCCAAGTCAGAGCACACATTTCACCATGAATTCCTCTTGTACCCCTCTATCTACTCACTGCCAGTTCCCTCTAAGAACCTCACAGGGTCTTCTGTGGGTGTTAACAGACAGGTGGTCTCCACTAGGCAACCAGAGAAACTGAAAATTCTGTTTAGGGAACATAGTCAAGTCAGCTGGTTCTCCCTTCCATATTTTCCTCATCTGAGACAACTCAGCTGTCACATCTGTTTCACAAGAGCCTCATGGGATGGATCAGCCTAAAAGAACCATGATTATGAAGCATTTTTACTACTGTTTTTGCTATTTGTGGTATCACACACCACAGTGCTTCATAACATAAGACAACAGAACACTAAATCTGCTTCAAAAGCAGGTTCACAGCCTGCAGAGGGTGGCTGCATAACAGCTAGTTAAAAATCCATGTGTCAGCCTGAATTAGGATCTGCTGGATCAGAACTGCCTAGTGACAAGCTGGGAAGAATTTGTTACACTTCTAATAAATTCCCAGGCAATACTTGGGACACAGAGCCAGCATAGTTCCTGACTCTTGTTTGTTCTATTCTAAGGAGAGACCGGCTCAGCCTGGCTTGGCCGAAGCGATGTATGACAGACATCACTTTCATAGCTCTGACTTGACCGGTGCAGGTGGACAACACAAGTCACAGACAAAGTAAAGCTGCTTTAGAGGCTTTGGCGGGGTTAAAGTCCCGCGGAGGACCCCTGGAGAGGGGGTGGGATGGTGCCGGGGGCCCGCAAAGGACCTGGACTCACCTACAATGATACCACAGGCGCTGACCAATCCGATCTCTTTCTTCAGGGCTACTCCGCCCCCTCCCGAGCTAGCCTCGGCCTCAGCGCTGCTGTTAGATCCGCGACCCGGGTGGTTCTTCGCGGTGTTGTTTCGCTGTCGGGTTCCCTTTTCCATCTTTCTCCGTAGGGTTCCGACCACCAAAAGCTAAAAGGAGCAGTCTCCTTCTAAACGCTCGTGTGTGTAAATGTATAGATACGTGGAAAAACAGAGTTTCCAATTAGAACGCCCTTTTCAGAAATAAGCGAGCGCTCTTACCTTCTAAAAGTGACAGCAAATGAGAGAGAGTCACACGTGTCACTGCTAACAGACAAGGGCCGTGTTTTTTTTTTTTTTTTTTAAAATGAAAGGCAAAGAACATATATATCTAAATACAGAAATAGAACTGTACCAGCGACTCCAGCTGGAATTCTCCGGAAAGCGTTTATCCTCAGAAGCCCAATATCACTCTGCTCGGTGTACGGGGCGGCGGCTTGCTCTGGTCAGAATTTCCCTGCAGCACTCCTAAAGAAACAGATCGCCTCCACCGTCTCTTAAGTCTTTTTACGACGAGGGTAAAAGTAGTTCTCGTTAGCTGAGGGGGCGGAGGAGGAGCGGTGCTCAGGTACTTTCTTCTTGCTCGCCGGCTCTGGATCAGGTTTCCACCTGCTGCGGTCGCCCCTTCTCGCCCTTGTCCGCTCTGAGCTCGGTGCTCACGCCGCAGATCCCTCCATCTGTGACAGGCAGGGTGGCTGCTGCGCTCGCGAATGTGCTTCCCTTTCGGCTGCGGCGTTTATTTGCGGACCGACGCTCCGCCCCCACCTCCTCCATCCTCAGCCGCATCTCCTCCCTCCTCTTCTATGTAATTATTAGTACCCCCTACCCCACAAAGATCACTGAGAAAGGGGCTTAACATATTTCTTTCTTTCCTTCCTTCCTTCCTTCCTTCCTTCCTTCCTTCCTTCCTTCCTTC